AGTTGGTTCTTGAAAAAGTTGGGGTTTAAACAGTTAATCATAATAACGATAAATATAACAATAAATATGTATACAAAGGTCATTGACCTCTTGAAGATCACACAAGGTCAATTTATTTTTTTGCTTTCATATCTGATCTTTATTTTCATGGCCTGAAGACCTATGACATAGACTTGGGTCATAGGAAAGTGGTGTTTTCAAGAACAATTGTTATAAATAGTGTATGTAAAGGTCATTGCCCTCTCAAAGGTCACCAGAGGTCAAACATGAAATGTCTCCACATCTGAAAATTTTCTTCATGGCATGGAGAACCAACATGCGAAGTTTCATGCTTTAGTCACAAAGTGCACAATCGTATCACTTAACAGCCCCACTAGCATATCCTCGCATGTAGTGCATTAAAATACAGCGCGAACAGCGACCTCATGCGGCCACTGTTTTATGTAAATCATTTGGATCCAGACGATCGCCTTGGTCCAATCGTCCATATGAGGTTTTTGGGAGTGGTGCTCATTATGGTAATAGCCTAAGCTGACCTCAAAAGTCGTTTTCTTATCAAGTTGCAATAGCCAGCGGTACTTGCGAGACAACTGTACATATTACACACGTTGTGTGTCGATGTCTCACATTACACACTAGGCTTGATGACAAATCGTTAGATAGTCGAACTTTGTCCGTGAACTTCAGTCGAACTCTATCGGCGCGGCTTGTATAAGACTAGTACGTAATCATCCGGGTTGCGACATATCTAACGACTTGAGGATTACGTTCTCGCACCGTTATTCATAATTTTATGCAAGCAGCGCAATTCATTATGCAGTGCATGTTTGCGGTGAGATCCAATGGCACACCGCTATGCATCAAAATAATGAGGACTCATTCATTCCGTTACATGGGGAGATCTTCTCAATACGTCGGAACATGTTTGCAGATCTGGCGACGTTTAACGTCTAAAACACTCAGCTAGGTCACTTGTGTATAGAAACAAAATGTATCATTGTGATATACTTGATTTATTTGATTCGTGTATGCCCTATAGTGATTTCTGTAATGTTACACAACACTAAGTACAAACCCTATTCTATCTATAGAATTCGCTTTTCAAAATTTTCAAAATACTCCCATATGTTGTGTACATAATTGAAAACGTATTCGCCAAGTCGGTAATTGAAGATCAATAGTCAGCATCATTTGGTCTGGGAACCAGACTCCGTGCATTGCACCGATTTTTTGCATGCGTGGAACACTCAGTAACCGGTACCGTATACGCAAACAATCACCGACTTGGCACCAAGTCTAATTACACACAGCACCAATGCACAAAAATGTGGTTTCTGACACGACCGCAAAGAGCGATTAGCTGCAAATGATTTGCATCTTTGTTGTACAAAAACAGGCCAGCAACTTGACGAAACAACATGTTATTTTTGCTCGCGAAATAAGAGCTTGGACTGGTGTTCATATCTAAAAGCAGGTAATGTATGTATAATTACGTACGTACACCAATATATTTACGCTTTGTTTATGATAATATGGATGCGGATTATTCAAATCAACACTGTGTCAAGAGCTACAGATACTGACCATTCAGCGGGCGCCCTCTGTCGGGTGTTTGGTGCCATCTTTGTTGTACAAAAACAGGCCAGCAACTTGACGAAACAACATGTTATTTCTGCTCGCCATGACGTCACAATTTGTAAAGTCGACTCCGATTGGCAATCGCGCCGGTGTCGTGCCAAAAACCGTCCGGTGCCAAATAGTGTCCGCTGAGCATGCGCAGTAGGCGCCAGACACTATTTGGCATGTAATACATGCCAAATAGTGTCCGGTGCCAAATAGTGTCCGGGCGCCGTCGATCGAGCGAGAACAAGGGCGCACGTACGTCCGTCCTGCCGGACAGTATTAAGCTGGAAAATCGGACAGTATTTTGCAGGAAAAATCGGACAGTATTTTGCAAGGGGGAATCGGACAATATTTGGCAGGGCGGGGAATCGGACAGTATTTGTTGGCAGGAAAAATCGGACAACAGTTGGCAGGAAAAATCGGACAGTATTAGGTGGGAGAAACCGTAAAATATAACGTTGGTTATAATGCTACACACAGCACAGTACGTACTACACACACTTCACACGGCGTTAGGCCTACGTACGCACTGCATGCCAAACAGGTGAACTGACGCGAAAAAAAACACACAAACATTTTGCACAAATATAATGTTTAAACTATTAGGGAAACCAAGTCAAATAGTTAACAAGGAAAACGTTAAAACAGATTGTAAAAAGCAAATTCAGGTGAAAAGAGATCTTTTCTATACGATGTATTGACAGCTCGACAAGGCACGCAATAGGATGCCCGCTAAGCGCGGACACTATTTGGCAAGCGTCCGTAAACAATGTGACGTCATAGACGCATGACCAATCAGATCGCATTATGCTAATTAGCGGACACTATTTGGCACCGGACGGTTTTTGGCACGACACCGGGTCGCATTTTTTCATGCACACATGATTAATATCAGACGTTGGTGCGGAGCATGCGGGCTCCATTGGTTGAACAACAGTATGATATTCTGAGTCAGACGAAATCAAAGGTAGCAGACTTTAAACAGTATTAAAGACACTACCGTCTGCTCCGCTGGTTAAATGGAATAACTTGCATCGCAACCAGATTAGCAATTTCCGGGTTCGAAAGATATGTTCCGAATTATGTCAATCCAAACGATTACTTAAAAATAATTGGGAATATTTTTACCCGCTTCGTATTCAAGTTCCCACCATCTTCAATATAGTCTGAGTATCACCCGTTATCCATGGAGCCAAATCCTGGAGAACGTCTGACATCCCTGACATGCAAATTTATGCAAGCCGCGCGCCAGCCAATCAGGCTGTTTATCTTGGTTACACCTCTATGTTCCGACACCCCTATGTTCCGACTGCACATATTCATATTCCTAACCCTAACCCTAACCGGGAGTAACACAATCTAGGTTGTCGGAACATAGGGGTGTCGGAACATAGAGCAGTCACCGTTTATCTTTATAATGTACACGTTGATGCCGAAAAATCTATCTGGTGAGGTCGTCGCATCCAATGTGGTGTTTAATAAAAGCATGTTCTGGGTGTACAACTATTGAAAATAAAACGTTGAAGTATCCGATCTGAAGAAATTGAATGATGCAGACATTATTCAGAAGACGAAAACTGCATGCGGGATTTGAAGGTTTGTTTTTCGGTTTTTCAGATCGTATGAGCTCCTTCATTGGTATAAAGCTACAATAACCAGTGATTACAAACGTGTATTCACGTCATGAAATCCTGACCACTTGTACTCAGAATTTTGTCTCTCGCTTTCGTTCTATAGTTTTATACCTATAGAACGAAAGCGGGATTAATAATGACAACATTTTATCATCTGCAAAAACCATGAACATCTCAATTCGTGATGTTCTCTGTGACAAACTGAAGCGGTGCCCTTTGATGTCCATTCTATAAGACATGCAGCTCAATCACCGGCGGATTTAGACACTTTCCAAGGGGAATGGTTGTCCTTTGGGGCGTATTATATAGCACATGTACCGCCATTGGTAATCTTGAGAACTTTATTATAAGAGGGCGTCATCGCCTGTGTCACCTTTTTTTTTACTCTGGCCGGGGGGAGTGAGAGTCCGCGGCCAAGGGGCGGGGAGTGAGAGTCCGCAAAATATACCCGTCGATTGGCTCACTCCACGCTTGCGTAAAAAAGGGCAAAGATATCCAATTGTCCATTGTAAACCGTGGCCCTGGATCTGGACAACAATGATCTGTGCTATTCATAAGATGAATTTGCGTTGGGGTGATGTAAATCATGATAGTTTTTGCCCTTCACCGACGTATAAACACTGTATACTCAGTGTGTTGTGATCTGTCCGTTTAATTTTGTCGTTTCAATGAATCGTCCTGGCGGGCTCTATGACGGATCCCTCGAGCGTAATCGAACTGTGACAATTAATTAATCAGACAAAGGGATGTTGCCGATAAACTATAATCAGGGTTGTCGAGGGAGACGTAGAGTGCTGGACTTTGCAAAAATTTGTGGGGTCTCACTTGCCAATGGTCAAAACATTTCATCAGGGAGAAATAAGTTTGAATCGTGGGATAAGGTGGGGTGCTGAGTCTTCTGTGATAGTTTGGACTGATTCAAGTTCATGACCATTTTACCAATCACATAATATAAAAACTAAGTGCTTGAAGTGCTAATATAACGCTCCCATCCTTCAATTATTTCCTCTCCACAGAGTCTTTGCAATGTAGAAATACTGTAAGCCTTCCCGTCCACGGTAGACATACGATAAATGGGAGCCGTATCATAAGTCCAACGCCTCATAGGTCCGACGCCTCATAGGTCCGACGCCTCATAAGTCCGAAATTTCGGACTTATGAGGCGTCGGAATTAAGAGGAATAAATTCCGCCACATAGGTCCGACGCCTCATAAGTCTGACGCCTCTTAAGTCCGACAATGGACAAACGCTGTTTCGGACTTATGAGGCGTCGGAGCTATGAGGCGTCGGACTTATGAGCGGACCCCGATAAATGGCGGTTCCCATGAGTGTCTCCTTGTTGGTTGGTCTGTCTGTTTGTCTATTTACGCCATGTGCACTCCACTGCGGAATTGATTGTGTTGTTATGGATCAGTGTAATGGAGTGGGGTTTAGCCTCTCGGCTGATGATCAATTTAGCCAATACATAGTACATGGTTCACCGACTCTGTCTGATACTCCCTAAAATGGCCCACTCGGTACTCCAATTCCCTTGTTTAACTCATCAAACACGCAGACTTCACATCTGTTCAACATTATACCTAATGTTATCGCTACGTCTTGTACCTACTTGTACTAACTAGATCCAGTGGACATCGTACCAAAAGGCTTGACAGTCTGGTGCGTAGCCATCAATAGGGATTAACTTAGGCCGGTACAATCCCATTACGCGCATGACGTGAAACAAGGAGATTGAACCATGTTCAGACGGGACTGTGATATGCTCTCTTGGGAATAGACTCGGATCATTCTCGGTTGTGGATCTTAAAGTGACCCGGTCAGAGACGTGTCAGACGTCTGCTACATTGGAAACAATAACAAAGCCGATTAACTAGAAGGTTAGCTCGGACATAAACGTTTTGGTATAAAAACTCGTTCCGTTTATTAGAGTCTGGAGTGAGCCAGGAAGATCTTGCACCATCGAGGCGTCCCTCTAGGGAGGGGAAGCTATCTTATATGCACTTGCCTTCCATTGAAGGACTTCAGTGTACCTCATTATTTTAGCAAATACAAATAAAGACCCTGCAGATTTGCTACATAGTGTCACTCATGTTTGGGACCACTGGAGATAGTCCGATCGTGACCCATCACGAGGGAGGAATGAACACGTTCAGGACGTTTTGGTGGGCATAAAACAACAAATGGCACAAATACGACCAGTGGTGAAATAGGCACCAAGCTTCGTTGGAATTCGGGAACTGTCTTCGAATGGTCCGAGCAATATGTCAAAATCTCCGGGTCTAGACAGTTTGCAACAGCATAGACAGGTAACTACATGTAGTACCGATATCTCTTCTGAAAGATGTACGATCAGAAAGGATATCATTGCAGATGACTTGAATTCCTGCAGGGAGGAGGAGTGCCAGTCGGCCTCTTGGTCATCAGCAAATAGATCAGACAACAAGAGATTTGTGGCTGAATGTGTGGCAAGAGCAGGGTTATCCACGGCTAAACGGAAGCAGCGGCGGTACAGGACCACATTTAATGCCGATCAGTTGGAGGAATTAGAACGAGCCTTCTGCAAAACCCACTACCCAGATGTCTTCACCAGGTCAGTATAGGGTGGGATAACTTTTCATTTTGTCTTTGCCTTTGCAGAAAGCATGCAGAGGGGTGACGTGTATAATATAGGCGAAGACGCTCATAATTTAAAGAGTTCGTTCAACTACTGTTCCGAAATAATCAATATGCCTTTAAACCTATCATGCATAGGTGTTTTTCATTTTATAAGCATAAAGGCTATTATGGTAACATGGAATGAGTTCCATGCGTGATATCACAACAATTGTTCACGACATCATTTCGATTATTTGGAACTCAGCTTTTGGAATTGTAAGTTTCAAACCGACGTGGTTTAAGAATGAGGAAAATTCCTGCAAAATGTCCCAGACCAACAACAAAAAATATTATTATAAATTATTATTATTATAATAAGCAATTTTGGCTGCGTCTAAAACGTGTAAACTTTGGTGCAACACAGCAACTGCAGTACAAGAATCATAAATTACTAACCACGAGAAGGCTCCCATTGATAATCAAATAAAAGGTATTAATGACTGTCACAGTAGGGTTAATCCATAAACGAGTCTGTCATGGGTATGCAAAATATACTGAGAAGAACATACATGTAATACATTTTTGTAACAACAAAAATAGGCTTATGAATTTAAGATTGGTAGCCAATTTACGGAACTCAAAATCACGTTGTGATTTGTTATTTCCTTTGATTTATAACCCCTTCGTTATTACAGTGATGAGATGAAAAAAAACCAAAAGTTTAAAACGTCGTTATTATAATATGACCCACTTAGATCGTTAGTTGTTAATTTTTTTTTTTAAATAATGTCTTGTGTCGACCTTCATGTAACCAGCTGTGGAAAAAAAACTCAAATGTGATACTTTCCAATTAAACTCGTCCTTGGGACCGATCTAGTATAGGATACTCCATGAGAAGATATGGCTTTTGTTCCCATGAGACGAATCAAAACTCCGGGCCTAAATCCCGACAAACACACGGCAGAGATCAGCGGCTCAGAGATTAGCCGGGCAATCCACGTTTTGTCTCCCACGGAATCAGTGTCCTCAGCCCGCTGGCGCTCGGGTGTCAAAAAATAGGATCCGACGTGTACCAGAATGGAAAAAATAGGATTAACTGAATAAATGAAGAGTAACATCCACTCTGCCGCCAAATTGGTCATTCTTAGCACATGTAATTACATGATATTTTTTGTCTGAAGATGACTGAAAGTTGTACAGGCTCAACAACTGATTCTGAACAGACTTTGATTTTTTAATTTGGACGTAAAATCAAGTGGAAAATGAGGAGCCTTGGCGATATCTCTGAAAGGAGAGATCGTTCACGAACCTAATCACTTGCATTATCTGGAATTCATTTGATAAATCCTGATGCTATTTTTAACTTTCCACAATGGTCGTACATTGAGAGTTTTGAGAGGATTGATGCGTATAACAAAATCAAAGGATAATGCGCCGACATGACGCGTGACCAATACATGTATGTGTATAAAGCGGTCAGTATAAAAAGCTGTATTTTTGTACCCGATTTTCTTAAGAAAAAATGACAGAGATATACTTCGAAAAACGTCTGTTATAAAAAGAAAAAACACGTTCTGTCTATGCTATTTTCGAGTTTCAATTGTGAATTTATTTAGAATGGCAATTTTTCTAAATGGCCCAGGTTTAGTTTTGGAATAATATACTGACGAATTTTGAATTACTTACTCGTGCAGGTTGACTGCACGGATCGAAAATGTAAGGAGCATAAAGGAATCAGTCTACCGTTGCAAAGGAAACCAAAATAAAACCGATTTCAGAGGGTTGCAGACGCCCAAAACGGAAGCTAATTTTTTTTTCATGAAGGTAAAAAAAAAAGTTGAAAATTTGCGAGAAGAAAAAACATCGTATTTGTGAAAGTTCACGAATAGTAAATCTTAGGAACTTGATAACTTATAGACCTGTAGTGACTGCAGGCCCCTTACAAGGTTGGGTGATATAAAGGTTGGGCTGGACAGATTCGAACACTTTCATCATAGTTCACATTGACAGATTCCTTGTACAGTCATTGTCAATCTCACAATGTCATTGTCTATCTCACAATGTCATTGTCAATCTCACAATGTCATTGTCAATATTACAATGTCATTGTCAATCTCACAATGTCATTGTCAATCTCACAATGTCATTGTCAATCTCACAATGTAATTGTCAATCTCACAATGTCATTGTCAATCTTACAATGTCATTGTCAATCTCACAATGTCATTGTCCATCTCATTACCTGTCACACCTGATGCATTGTGTCATCCCCGCACTTTTTGAAAACTATGAACTGTGCACCCCCCACACACATAGAACATACTTTTTAAATCCTTGTGAACATAGAAAATAAAAGCAGTTATAGAACATGATAGAGGACGTAAAACATACATTGGACAATGAACCGCCCCACCATTTTGTAAATTATGGCTTTTAATTATTACAATTTCTTTTTCTTTTTTGGTAACATAACGTTTTTCCCACATTATGTCAGAAACGTTCTACCCAACTCTGGGCCCCGGCTTGGCCCTAAAATGGTCACATGACGTGTACCGGTAAAAGTAAAATTTGAACGTCTTCAATGTTTTTGTGTCATCTGACAAAAGTGACAAGGCTGACATGTCTTTGCTCTACTCTCTCATGTGTACTTGTTAAAAATCGTAGATGCTCAGGATGACAGCTGTCCTGATTCCATCATGTACATGAATAGGGGAACCACAATTTGAAATTGTCGAAATCATTTTATCTTCTTTTCAAACAGGGAGGATTTGGCGATGCGCGTCGATCTCACGGAGGCACGTGTGCAGGTATGGCTTTATTGTGATTAGATTCCCTGTCAGTAGGTCGGGTAGGCTGTAGCTAAGATACTTGTGATCGAACAAAATTTATCACAGATCAATCACAAGACAATCACAAGCTATTCAAATGAACTGTGACAAAGGCATTTATCCTGTGTAAGTTTTCATCTCCTCAAGTTATTTGTGACTGAGTGAATTGACTTGTGATTTACTGGTGAAAGGACTTGAGATACAGTTGTGATCCATAACAACTTACCTCGACAACAACTCTGGTGTTTGACTAGCGCCATACAAAGTGCAGGCATTGATGATATAGTGTTTGACTATCATCACTGACAGTGCTGACACTGTCAATGGCCTAGGTCTAATTTCCCGGTAGCATCATCGTTTTCGTGTTGTCATTTCATTCAGGTTTGGTTTCAGAACAGAAGAGCCAAATGGCGAAAGCTAGAGAAGCAAAGTGTACGTCAGTCTTCACTCACCTGCGGTTATTTGGCACCTGTCGCCCCATCAGCTGCCCCGCATCTATTCCTTCATCCAGGTCTAAATCACCCTAGCTACGCCTTTCAACCATCATCTGACAGTGCCGGCATTCCAGCAGCTTTACTTGCTGGTTTTATTCCTAAACCAGCGTACTATCCGCTTCATTCTGGCCTCGCATCCAGCAGTGCAGCTATGCATCCGTTAGGCTTTCAACCCCCTCGCTTATCCATGTGGTGCCCGACTGTTTCGATGTTACCGAGGATGAAGTCCGAAGAGAGACTAGAACCACCTGCAAGCTTCCGAAGCCATGTGACTCCAAAACAATCAGTAGAGGTACCGACCGACAGACACTCTTTCAGTATTGCTTCTCTACGTTTAAAAGCGCACCATCACCAAGCAAGTGGAAAAGGGCGGGACAGTATTTTGTGTGATTCAGTCTGCTGATGGGTCGACTCATGCATGTTCCGTTTAAGAAGTGACCATTTTGATGCACACAGTTGGTTACCAGAACAAAACTTTATAAACCCAAATCATAATAAATCAGTGTGCAAAATAATATCCATTAGATTTATTTATGTCGGGTGGTGCGTGGGTTAGAGAAACTCGTCCTTGAGCGACGTCACTCTGAAGAGGGGGGGGGGTGGGAACAAAGGGGGCGCTTGCACCCCCTCCTCTCCCCCCCCCCCCCCACCGAGCAAAAACAACGAACAAAATGGGGGGGGGGGGAGAAAAAAAGAGGCGCGAAGTCATATTGATGTTAATTTAATGGGTTGGGGAGGGGGGGGGGGCAAATGTCCCTGCCCACCCTCGAAAATGATAACTCGAAAATATGCTGGAAAAGTACAGGGATTTCTGGGGGGAAATGAGCTTTGCCCCCCTCTAGAAAAAACTCCTGGCATCGCCCATTGACACATTCCTGGATGGTAAATGTTCAACTTTTTTAATGATTTCATTAACATAGGCCTAATTATGCGAGGTTATGTGTTCACAAATGCGACTGCGTTTTAAATGCATTTTTTTTACGATAACTATTTCGATCATGTTTGTTATACCAACAAAAAACTGAGGCCTTTTGTTTATGATCAGAAATACGAATCATTTTCGATTAAGCTGAGTAGTCCCATGGCCCCTCCGAGGAAATAAATATAGCCGATAAGAAAAAAAAACCAGCCTCAGACTTTGATCTAGCTCTTCAGCCGTAACTTCGAACGTTTCTAGACGTTTGAATGGAAGGAATTGTCCCAAATGGTAATAATTACAATCCAACTACTGACACAAAGTGTACTGTGGATAACACGGGATTCGTTTGATTTATGTTTCGACTTCCGAGTTAATTAGGCTTCCACGACATAATCACCAGTCAATTTATCAGGATTTGAATTTCCAAACCTTCATTGATTTCCAGTTGCATGAGTTCAGTTGTGTGTCTATAGGCCTACCCGTCTACAGAGCAATCTGGACACATGGATGTAGGCTTAGTGCTGGTGAAGTGTGAAATTTGGACACCGTAAAATATATGTTGTATTGCTTAACTTGCTCATTTAAAATGTGCCTATTGTGTCATGGTTTTTTGTAATTAAAGGTAACTTTGACCAGTTCTCATTTGCTTGACTCCCCAGACATCCTCCAGCTCCCACACGGTTCGGACACAATCCCCCTCCCCCATTCAGTGATCCTAAGATGGATCATTTATTACAAGCTCCCCCTCGAGGTATCGCCCACAGACTAATCCCTTACTGATCACCGACCCCAGGTGACAATGGTTTTCGATTAATTTTCATTAGACCAAAGAAAGACTCGGCAAATAGTGAAATCGATCCCTGTTGTGTCTCAACCGGTGAGCGGACACTACCCCCAAACATGTACATGTACACAACCCAGTCGTCCTTGGGCCTCAATCTTGGCTCAATGCACACACTTCTTTTCTGTAATAAACAAGGATTAGAAAATACCATTGTGGTATCCCAAAAAGGACAGGTTTCCGTCAAGATTCTGTTTTCAAACCTGTGATTCACGTTTAAACGTCGCCACTCAGTTTTTAGACGTCGTGGCTATCTTTTTCGAAAGTCTTGTTACACGCCAAGTTCACTTCGCAAACATCGTGGTTCACGGCTTCTAATTTCCACTTGCACAGCAAGGGTATGATAATGCGAGCAGTTTCGGCAATTTATTATGCAAATAGACTGCGTCTTGACCTCGAGATTCTGACCATTCTGACCATGTGAACTGTGTTAGCAAAAATGGACTGCGTCACACGGCCTGTAACAGTATGTACACGATGCATCGACGAGCCAGTCATGTGGCTTAGAATTATCATCACATACTATTTTAAAGCTATAGTCCATCATTTGTAATTAGTGCATTTTGTTTGTTTGAAGCAACAAAAGTGTTCAAAATCTAATGAAGGGTGCTGAACAACTTACTTGATGAAGTTTCAGCTCAGCTTCAGCTTCATATTCCGAGAAAAACAGCATTCTAGGATCTCAATTTTAAATCAAAAGTTGCTAAATCATGTTTCGAATTGTTTTGAATTGCAGCTTTACGCGATGTTGCGCACTGATCCAACGAATTATAGCAACCGCGCGCGCCTGTGCGTCGTTCCAATGCTTGTGCGCGCTGCGCCGAATAACAAAACGAACAACTAATTTAAATTTTTCTACGGTGCCTCTTAAGAAGCACCGTTGGAAATGCCTTCTTTCGTTGATTTCTTCAAAATGAGAGCTTGCCAGAAAGGATAATTTCACAGGGAGTTTAGTCCCCTTACTATCTTTCAACCAGTATGTTTTTCAACAATAATTACGCCGGTTACTTTTTTGGATAGCTGCAAATGATGGACTCGGGCTTTAAATAACGCTCGTAATGCGTGATGATGAGCGTTTGCGTATAGACCGCTTGCAGACGCGTTCGATAATTGACGCGCTAAGGTGAGCGACGCCATGTTATGGGACAAAATGTGCGTGAATTGATATACGCCTGTCCCACAACATGGCGTCGCGCGCCTTCGCGCGTCGATTATCGAACGCGTCTGCAAGCGGTCTATTAATACGTGCTGCATTTTGCTAACAGTTTTGATAGTCAATGTCGTGTCTAGGTTTTATTAGGTATCTACGTTCGTTGTATTACAAAATCATTGCATAAGTTGTCCAATCAACAGCGCGGTGTCGCATACATTTGCATGCTTAGATATATCAGACGTTGTACCGGAGACAGAGAGGGCTCCGTTGGACAACGGGTGATAGTCAGAGTACCTTTAAACGTGGTTCGCTTATAAAACGTTGCCCCTCACTTTTTAGAACACCAAATATCAAAGAGAAAGGAATAAATGAGCTGTATGTTCTCGTTATGATATTTTAGGCACATGTCTCTAGGACCTCGGCGAGAGAAAAGTATTCCCATTTAAATCTGGTCAAATTTGAGATAGCATCTCCTCCCTCAGACTTAACCCGAAAAATAAGTAAGGGAATAAACATGTTTTAAAACGTACTTGTTTAATATCAACCAAACAAACATTCATACCCATTCATAAATATACCTTTCGTTCACAAACTTTTTAAAAAAATCGAAAATTCACAATTTTGTAACGATTTTGTTCAACATTTTTACCTCATGTTTTGTGAAACACCCTTCTCGCCATGTTTATGTTAAGTGCCTCGCACGCAATGGAAATTGGTGCTGACCGAATTGGTGCAGGGATAAAGTGTTAAAGCCTGTTGGTGTTTTATCAACCGCTTGAAACCACGCACGTGACGGGCTCTCGACCAATATAGGAATAGGTAAACTGTCTAAGGTATTTATACATTTTTTTTAAAATGTGGGTTTTTTTTACGAATGATAGAAGCAAATAATGATGACAATGCGTGTTTTTGTTTGTTTATTTACTATATTGTGCACCGTTGGTGATGATGCAGCATAGTTCAATTTCCTGCTGAAAGTCCAGAACTTTTCTTGTAAATTTAGTTAAGGAGTCTGAATTGGTTGTCCATGCTGAATTGTACAGAACGTTATATGATTTAGCACTCGATGTTTGCGGCCCGATACAAATGGAGGCAGCTTGCATGCCAGTTCACTTCGACTAGATTAGGTCATTGAGACGTGTTATGTGCACTGCGCCACAATTGAAATGCGCCGGACTGGAAAACAGTGTTAACTAACTGAGTTTGATGGCCCAGAAAGCGATGGGGATGATCCATCTTACACTGTCTTTATTATAAAAGTAACGATCATTTGCTGACTCTAGAAAGACCAGGCAAGGGGAACTAATTTTGGCAAAACGACAAACACTAACCTTATTTACATTGTGGTTTGAGCAGAGCATAAAAAGAGACGAGACTGTGATGTTTCTGAAAGTGGATTTGCGACTAATCCTATTGTGCAGAAAAAGAAAGTTACACTTGCAAGAATGAAGAATAGAGTTTCGTAATACAGTTCACAGGGTAGCTTGCATTTAGTATGATATGAGGAGGAATGTACAAAAAGTACAATGGGAGGTATATTCTGCTATAGCTAGGCCAGAGTGTATAAAATACTGGATAAAGGTTTACAGTAGTTGCCCTCTAAACCACGGATAAAGGTCATTTCTTTAGGCCAGAATCTAACAAATTTGGTGTCGACCAAATGCACGTTACGACGAATCTATAAGGAGCCAGATGTAAAGGGCTCAAGCGAGAGAGCCAAGTGTCTTGAAATAAACAAGAGACGCCAAAAGGTGAACTATGACCGGAAGCCTTGCGTCCGAGAGAACAATTTCGTGCGGCTGTTGAACCAAGCACAGTGGTCCAGAATGCATGCAGTCAAAGTGTGCCAAAATTAAATACATGTACTCATAAAAAAGCTTGATGAAGTTCAAGTTTGAAGTACATAAGGGGTTTGCAGACCCATAGATTTCAATGGAAGCATTTTCAAATCTACGTCATCAAAACGGTGTTTTCCGATTTGCTATTGCAAGTAGTCATTGTAATAACAAGGCAGTACATTTGACGATTATTGAATCGTATAAAGGGTTTTCTTGAACTAAGGAATTTAATAAGGGAATTTTTTTATTTTCTATTACGTAAGCAATATACTGTTTTCTGATTGGTTGAATCAATTATCCAATCACAATAGCCGGGTAGATTCAATATTTAACTGATTGTTGTAACCTAAATTGGTTTGGGGAAACGTATTTGAAATACCGCACTTTGATTGGCGGGTGGAAATTATATTTTAATTCTAATGTGGACCGGGATAGGCGTAGCCAGCGGGGGTAAGGGGGTATTCCCCCCCCCCCCAATATTTTGAAAAGACTGCCCTTTTCCATTCAAATGCCCTTTGTCACCAGCGCTTACCCCCCAATATGTGTCAAGAGTGCCCTTTTTTCCTGAACAAGTGCCCTTTTTGTCCGAAAAAGTGCCTTTTTTCCCCGAGTGCCCTGTAAAAACGTAATCGTGCCCTTTTTGCTTTCATCGGCAGTTACAGGTGCCTTTTCCGAATACGACTCATTTAAAGCACGTATATTGTGCATAATCGACGGTTTTAAACAGCGCCCCCATCGGTAGAGGGTACCAGCCCCAGGCCCCCCCCCCCCCGAGCTATTTAAATCATTTGATTTGAAGCCACAATCCGTTCATGAAAAACGAAAGTTACGACCGTTCAGTTGCGTAGCTAGGATTTTGTCCGGGGGGGGGGGGGGTAAGAGGGGTCCTGGACCTCTTTTGACACTAGAGGGCGCTGCTTTTCCTTTCCAATTTGATTCACTTATTCACATTTCACTATCCGATAGGGTCAAGCGGATAAGAACTTAGTACAAAATAGTCAACTTCACTCCTCTTCATTACTCAAATATTGATACTTTTAAAACACTTCTTTCAATGTGTGTATTTATATTATATACCGATGGAAGGGTACCGGTACTATCACCACCGGTACCGTCACCACCGTCGTCTACCGTGCTTTACCGTGGCAAGGTTTACATGATTTTTTGTGTGTTATTGCTCGTTTTTTCTCACTCTATATAATTTCCTAATACTTTCCACCCATCTCCTGCTTCTACAACAAATATAGCCCACCAAACGGGGCCAAAACGACTTAACTTCCAATTTGCTTGACGATAGCCCCCACATAGCCCCATGTTATGGGCTGGCCCAGTGTAAGCTTAGGAGGGAGATGATACCACACAGCAAATTCCGTCACAGATGGATGACCAAATAAGCTGATTGCTTTTATGGTGCATAGTCGAGTCATCGACAGCATCATTTTGTCCATGAAAAACTCAATAACAATTTTCTTATTTTTTTTTACCAAGCACGATTGCTCAAAAATACCCTAAAATCGAAAAAGCTCTGTATTCTGTTCATAAACATCAAATATAGAAGGCTATAGTTTTGCATGTTTTATACTTTTGAAACTCTGCACGTGTCACTCATATACTCTGCGACCAACTGAGTCATTTATCTCCACCATGGGCCTTTTTGCAGGAAACTGCTGAACGCAAATAGCGTTTTGCCAGTTTGTACGCGGAACAGTAAAAAAAAAAAAAAAAAAAAAAACGAACAATGACTTTGGTTTGCTTATTCAAAACTTAGCGCTTAGCACATTTTATATTCCTGGCCATTCAATGAAATTGGCCTATGATTGGGTAAATCCAAATAATATATTGCTTGAGGGGAGTATTTGCAACTTATCAGTGATGTATTGTTCCTAGTTCCTACCCCCTAGTTTGCCCTGTGATATTCCGGATTGGACTTCGTTCGGAAACAAAGGTTACAAAGGCCAGGGCCGCTGCTGTTCAGATATAGTTTGCTAAGGGTCTTTAGGCCTATATTGAGTCTATTGATCACCACGCAAGCAGACAATTCTATCAGTGGGATACGTTGATTCGGATTGTCGTTGTTGAACTCGTCTACTCCTCTTGATCGAAAACAAATCTACACTTAGTGAGTATCGATACAATATGTCCATACTCTTTCTTCTTCATTCTCTCAGTTTAAGATGTGCTTTAGGGTGGCACTTGAGGCACAATTTCAAATGATTTTTATGTGAGAGATTTCCATTGAGACATCGTGCAAAATAATTCCATCACTGTTAAGGTATATACATGGACGTAGGCTAAATTGAATTTTTCGGAAGACCAACGTAGAAAATTTCATTCGTGTTTTTCATCGGTTGGTGAATATCGTTTGATGGCATTTTCGGCTTAGCATGAATATACCAAATTGTAATATCAAATAAAAAACTTACACAACAAACTGGCAGAAATGAAACACTTCAACCTCTGCTACAGTTTTCATCAAAACAATCTCAGTATTGCTGGTTACTTGTGCCGTCAAGCTAGCCGCTCAATGGAAGAGGGCATGGGATCACGCTCCTACCCGCTTGATTCCTGTGCCCCTCCTGCCTTATTCCCCTTCAACTCAGATTTAGGAAAGGCAAAATGAACCTTTTTGTTGCTAAAACACATTAGAGGTCCCCCCCCCCTGCAAATTGTACCCCACTTACGCCACTCACCTTGTAGCCACTTCATTCGATATGCCCTCTAAATCATGACCGTAAAATAAATAGGTACCAATGTAGCAAGAAATAGGACTCTATGAAATAAAGACACTTAGGTAGAATTGCGCATGCCTAAGTGAAGATAATTAGGGGAGTGACCGGTCACGTGAGAGGGTTTAACCAATATAGGATAAATTAATACAAATTATAGTCTGGTTTTTATATGATACCGACTTCAGCTTGATAATAACCTGTTAATGCCTAAAATCAATCCATGAACAAGAAATAGATATAATAACGCCAAGGAAACGAATTAAACAGCTGCCCGATCGGCCATATTGGTTCGAAACTGGCTGAAATTTTTGTTTTCTTCTGTTCAATTTATCGGCGGAGGAGAGATTGGGAACTGATATTGTATTGACCTAGTTTACAAATTAGTTCTACAAGGTGACGTGCACTGATACTATTTTGATAATTTTGTGAGTTTGTTTTTGGATCAAATATTGACCTCTGTATACACCGAGGTCTTTATAAGTGGCTGTTAAAATAGAGGGGCGACCGCTGTATAGAAGTGTACAACCTACCTATTCGAGGTACGAATATAAAAGCAGACTTGTAGCGAATGTTTTGTGTAAGAAATAATCTGCTATTGAACTTTTGTCTGCCTGACTACCATTTATTTGGATTGGTTTGGAGGCATAGGCAAACAAAACTGAATTATGAAAAATATATTTTGTTCTTTGCAAAATGTATATCTTAGCTTATTTATCTGAACGTGTATTTGATGCAAGTATAATGTTTACTTAACCAATTATTATTATGTTCTGAATGTTAAGTATTGAGCCAGTCAAATTTATTCCGTCACTAAATTTCATCATTATAGCAATAACGGTAATACAGTTATATTTCGTCAAAAAATGTTCCATATTGCTTTTCGAGACATTGGTATTTTGGCAATAGATATAATCACTGGATGGTATACCAAGCGGAAACCGTGTATGCAACTGTTTGTTTGTTGATCGGTTGATCGCCAACGTAGCGAGGTGGGTGACTCGCAAGCCAAACGAGCGAAGGGCGGCGGCTTACCCTCCCTCCCTCACTCCCCCCCCCCCCCCCCCCCCCCCCCCCCCCCCGTCGCGGGCGAGGCGAAGCTGTCGCGTATATAATACAATTCTTCCCTTTTTTCAGGTTACGGCGGGCCAATACGATGTCTCAAAAAACTGTTACCATTCTCCTACTGATAACATCTTGCATGTTGATGCCACCCGTCTACAGCACCATTGGGAAGGATCATCTCCCAGATCCCAAGACGTACAAGTTTCTGTACTTTGTCTCTATGGCGGGTGGCAGTCATTATCCATCTCTGTCCATGTCTGCTAAGGAGCTTGTGAGACAGGGTCACAAGGTGGTCTCGCTGTTCAGCAGCTCCAACCCTCCGCAGATGCACACGGCCGACGCCGACATCTTCACTACGGTGGTATTCACCTCGTCTTACACACCGCAGAGACGGGCCGATGTCATGGCCAATATCGGCAAGTTGTTCACCACGGGCGCCCTGAGGACCTTCTGGGGTCCGTTGATCGCAGGCGTCAGGGGCGACTTCAAGGAACCGAGCATCGCGGATATGTGGCTACGCGAGTGCGACGACCTGCTGGGAGATGCAGCGACCATGAAGAGGCTCCGGGAAGAGAAATTCGACATGTTGGTTGCTGATGACCACATCCCGTGTATTCCGCTCCTGGCACAGGCTCTAAACATTCCCTTCATCTACAATTGCGTTGTACACGCGGTTCCTTCAAAGCATGGAGAGTGGTAAGTACGAGATCACAATTATGGCAATTGGGACTGGCACGGGAAACGTCCACACGTATTTAGGAAGTGTAAAAAGTGTGTATACCTATAATGCACGGCCAATTGTCGGGTGTATTATTGGGCGGGCTGTTTCCCAACACCTATGTTCCCTAACCCTTGAACCCTAGCCCTTAGAGAGCATAGGTATTGGGGAACATCAGGTAGACCCTGGGCCGTCATCGCGTTATGGGGAATGGGTTTTTTTTTATTGTTAGGCAAATTAGGACCGAGTTGTGGGGACTTTCTGCTGTCCCCACAGCGTCTTCGGCCCCTGTAGTACCATAGGTCAACTCGTGTGTAGTCCCCAATTGTGTGAACTTGCTAGATTGGAGAAAATCCACTATTAATTTCAAAAAAAGTTTGTATCTTCATTTTCAAGGGCAGGGTTACCTATCGACCCATCCTACATCCCGGAGCGTGTGCTTGGACTCACAGACAAAATGACATTCTTACAGCGAGTCCAAAACGTCCTGGCGCACATCTACTACAGATTCTGGTGGTTTTTGATTTTCGACTTCAAAGGATTTGATCAGCTGAAAATCAAGTATAACATTCGAACCGAGATCAGCACCTATGAATCTAACAAGCAAGCGTCGCTGTATATGTTCCATGGGAGCTTCGCTTTAGAGTTTCCTCGCCCCATGCAGCCAAACACTATTTACGTTCTCTTCACAGCTGGTTCGACTCCTCATAAAAAGGTAAAGTGCAGTAAATTAAGCTTAAGGGATATCAATTTGTTTTCTATCCCACGTTTGTAAAATGTCGTTTCAGCTTATTTGAAAACTTGCTCAGTTTTATGGCTTCTTTGCTGTGGTGTTCTGATGACGACAAAACGGCATTGCGTCTTGACGTTTGCCCAATGTCACGATGCCTCCGCGACTTGTCATTGTTCCATCACCGATGGCACAGCGACACGATGACAATGTACGTAGGCCTGCACCAACACCGGCAGGATGTGACATCGGAATGGCTTGATGCGACAGCGCTCTGCCGGGATGCGATATCAGAGCACGATGCGATGAAACACTGACAACATGCGATAGCAGCGAAGCACGATGCAATAGCGAACGCAACGATGCGACCGCATGGTACATGACAGTACCCCGGCTATAGATACGACGGCACGACGCAACGTCAAGACACCAACTGTCGCATCGTTCCATCACTCCTACGTGCTGCCGTTTTGTCGTAACACCATATTTTCATAAACTATTTTCCCACTGTGTACGTAATTTCTTCTCATAATAGAAATTCTTACGGATTCTGTTTCACCTTCTCGGTAAAATCGTGTCAATCAAGTTTTAGTGACCGCTAAATAATTGTAGAAAAAAACTATATACCAGCCGAAAATCGTCCGCTCATCACTTCCATTATGTTGTTGAATGTGTTATCTCATTTCTTTAAGTGTTGCCACATATGGAGTATGACATATGTGGCAATTATATAGGACCTTATCAGGGAGGGTCCTGAGCCATGGACATTGATCAATCGATTATTCTTCGAATATTCCTGCTATAAATCAATAATAGCTATGACGCGTAGGTGTCTCCCACTTCCGATTATACACGATATGCGTGATGTCAATGAGAAAAACACAGCGTTAAAACAAAATTTGTGAATCATATGTTTTTTCAACCTGGTTAAATCCTGTAGTACTACCGGCAACGAATCACATTCCCGGGGAAAACGTTTTCTCTCTCTCGTGTTTTTCTTATTCTGACAACAGATTGAAGATGATGTGGTAGAATATCTGGACACAGCTCCGAATGGAGTGGTTTTATTTTCACTGGGTAGTCACGTTGGAAGCATGGAGCGAGAAAAGGCCCAAGTTCTTGCCGACGGCTTCGCCTTGCTACCACACCGGGTGTTGTGGCAGACCTCAGCTGCTTTACCTGTGGGAATTAAGCTAGCAGACAACACAAAAGTCGTCCGATGGCTGCCAATGGCACAAGTCATGGGTAGGTCTTTCTACATTTGATGTATTTTTCTGCTACCTTTGCTTCCACCCACGCCACCACGTCTGCACCCCCCCCCCCGCCCCCGCTATGGCTAAACAGTTCTGGTTTGTTGGGGTTGGTTGTTTGTGGGTTTTTTTTTGGGGGGGGGTGTTTGTTTGTTTGTTGGGTTGCTGGGGGTGTTTGTTTCTTTGTTTTCTTTTGACGTATGCTCATGAGTAACTGATAAATTAAGCATAGTTTTTTAAGGGTTGGGGTTGCAGTATTTTTAATCACTTTGGGGTAAATTTCCCTACTTAAATGATCGACACTATTTTTCGGGTTGAAACTTCAAAACAGCAAGGGAAGCGCAATTTAAGGTTCTTATTGTTAAACATTTCAATCCAGAGCACGTTCATGTTAAAGTGTTTGTGAGTCACGGTGGCGGCTTCAGTATGTACGAGGCGTTGTGGGCCGGACTGCCCATGGTAGGCCTACCGCTCTTCGAAGATCAGATGGACAATTTGGACCGGCTAGAAGACCGTGGGGTCGGGTTGACGCTAGACGTCACCACCTTGACACCGGAGATATTGAGCCAGACCATCCACAAAGTCGTGACAGAACCAAAGTAAGATTGATTTTGTGAGTTCATCAAAAAACACTAGAAAATTTGGTCTAATAATTTTTTTTGTAAATGTGGGTAAAAGGTAAATAGACAACATTGTTAGTATCAGGAAAGGAATTCTTTAAAACATTTTCGTTATTTCTGTTAAAATCAAATAAGTTCCTCCATCCGCACTAGCTCAAATTGCCCGTGTTGATGTCTCTTTTGCTGACAGATTCCGTGTCAACGCACGGCGTGTATCCCTCATCATGCGAGACTTGCAGACCATGTCACCCCCAATCAAGACGGCAGCTCATTGGATCCTTCACGTCACCAAGTTCGGCGGTGATCACCTGCGCCCGGCCGTCCAAGATCTGAATTACATGCAGAGGAATCTTCTAGACGTCTACATCTTCTTTCTGGCTGTCCTGGCTCTGATCCTAGGGGTAAACCTTTCATTGTGTTACTGCTGCTGTAAGTGTATGTGTGGCAAGGCTGGAAAAAATCATCTAAAGAAAGAATAGTACATGCAAGGCTAAATAAAGTAGTGCTTGTTTGCGGACATAACAATCTTGGTAATAGGATATAAAATTAACTGTGTGTAGTAGGCTTAAACTTTTATTTACATATATACATCAGGAATTTGCTGAAGATTTGGAACTGGGGAATATAACGTGAAACAAATAATACTATACAAAGTGTCGTTTTGATCAAAGCGATAATTTTTTTAATGATTAATTAATTTTTAATTTTCAAACAATTTTTCACAAGATATCTGTGCTGAAATGAGAAATAAATCGAACCTCTTCATTTTCCACTTCTGAATGGTCAAAGCTTGCAACCAGGAGTTTTAGCTGTCGTTGGCGAGTCTTAGTTTATCTCACATTAGGCTCTAGCTTCTTCTTTTTCTGATATTTTGTTTATTGGTTTTGCTTTCTGCCGTTGAAACCTAGGGCTCAAACGTACACAGACACTGTAGCTCTCAAGACCAAAACAACTTGAAAAAAGACCACGAAGAGTTTTTAGCATTTTAAATTACATTCCATGTAAACCCTTTTCATATTGGAATCCATTTTCCCTATAAATTTCATTCCAAAATACTGTTTTGTAAGAATTCCTGGATTTTTGTGTGTGTTGAAATCAGGGTATAGATAAATCTAATTTACTACGAAAAAGACATGGCGGCTTTCCTGGGGACACGTTTCTTCTGCAGGCAAGTAAAGTCATTTACCTCGATGCACATGCGTGAAACAAATCACATGAATGAATAAATATGTCATGTGATTTGTAATAACTTTATATAATTTAGATTAAGCGTGGCAATTATGTTGCGCGCTTCGCCAGGTCGGTGATCACAATGCTGTAGGTTGCAGGTTCGAGTCTCCGGAATGTTAAAACTGTATTCCCCCCCCCCATATGTGAAGTTTCTTTTGATCACGAAACACGATTTCGTCAACAGAACTTTTTATGTCCAACGATCATTCAATAGTTTCGAGGGGGGTTTAGTACCAGTGCGATGTTAATACAAATAAGCCTTTTGATAATAATTCGCCAGGCTACTTTTGAGATAAATAAAAATAATAATATGTCTTTAAGCGGTTTATTATTATCAGGGGGAAACAGACATCTTGCTCTTTTCTGTTAAGTATCTCTCTTGGAAAAAAATCTTCCATATTTGTGTTACAATTAAAAGGTGATGACATGAATGGGCTGTCATTGTTTCAGTTTTTTCGGATAGTTCGAAATGTTAACAAGAGTGATACATAATGCATGTAAGATCTCAACCTTATTATAGCTACTAGCTACATGTAGGCCTATCATATTCTAAGAAAACATCACTTTATTCATGATCAACTGGTTGCATGGGCGTCGCCAGGATTTTTTCTAGAGGGAGGCAAAAACATTTTTTTGCCAAAAAATGCTTGTATTTCTCAACACATTCTCGATTTATCAGTTTTAGAGGGGGGCAGGGACATTTTGCCCCCCCCCACTCATTAAATTTACACCACTTTGTCTTCGCGCCTCTTTTTTTTTTTTTTTTTTTTTCTTCCTTTTTTTTTTTTTTGGTTGCTTTTCCAGGGGGGGGGGCCCCCTTGCCCCCCCCCCTCGCGACGCCCATGACTGGTTGTGACTTTAAGTATAGTTGTGAAGTTGACACATCACCGCCTCTGACTTCTCAAGTTTTAACAACGAACGACTTGGCTATTATACAAATATTGAATGCGTCGAGTGGTGTAGTAAAACTAGCCTCCCGAGGTTATCCATGGACATCCTATATTTCCGAGGCGATAACGATGGAAACTAGAATGCTCCATGGATCACCGAGGGAGGCTAGTTTATAATCACCACGAGATAAAGCATTCAATATTTGTTTTATAACGCTTCACCCACAGATTCTGCTTGGTTTTGACATTTTAAATAAAAAATGTAAATCTGAACACAGTTAAAATAAACTTCAATTTCAATTGGACATTGGTGGGAAATGTATTTCTCTCGCACATACCACCCCTTTACGAAATGTTTGAACCCAACTTTGTGGCACGCTCTCTTGGGAAAAAATACGCGCTACGCGCAACGCTCAACGCACACACCAGCATGCATTTGCACACAAATACCGCGCCGTGGGTATAGACCGCTTGCAGACGCGTTCGATAATTGACGCGCTAAGGTGAGCGACGCCATGTTATGGGACAAAATGTGCGTGGATAGATATACGCCTGTCCCACAACATGGCGTCGCGCGCCTTCGCGCGTCGATTATCGAACGCGTCTGCAAGCGGTCTATAGTACTTTGGTTGCTAATGGTATAGTAATTTTGGCCGTGCACTGAAAGATAACAAAGATAGAAAGTACCATGTGACTTGCTCTCGGCCAATCAGACATAGAATCTGTTATAAAGTATAATACACACGTCGATGAAAAATGGGTACAGCCTACTTCAGCCTCCCTAGACTTGAGGACACAATAAGAGGGGCTATTTTGCTTTGGGTAAAGTCTTGAGTATGGACCCAAATTTACCCAATCCCAATAGCATCCCTCCACAAAAAAAGGAAGGGTTAGGCCTAAGCCTCAAGGGATTTAAAGTCATTGCCTTGTACTATCACTTCCGCAGTAACTCGGAAATACGCTTCCGTATTATTCTGTGTTATTCGTTTGCTATTCCATCGACGTAATATTATGGTATGGTATGGTGTGGTTTATTTATCCATATCATCACATTGTCGACCAAAGGTCAAATTGCATGATAATTTACAATATTAAAAACATCAAAATCATGGTGAACTTACTTAAACAAATATATATAGAGAGAAATAAACCATATAAGTTGGTTAAAATTCAAGACATATGAAACTATAGTACATTGCACATAACATGTAGATTTGTCTGCCTCAATTCTTAAAAAAAAAGAAGCTGCTCACAGAGAATAGTTGTTCAGCAAATTGATAAAAAAAGTTGAAATGGGCTGTTTTGTTATTAATCGAGTTTTTAAAGTGTGCGTAATAATCTTGCCCAGGGTTGTGGTGGCTCTTATTATAGATAAAAAAAATTAAAAAGCTGCTCACAGAGCTAGTGATTTTACTTGTTCATTAGTCAGGTTTTGGATGCCATTATGGGATGCTTGATGTATTACAACCATTGCTTCGTATGATGCAAACGTGGTTGCTACTTGCTGCCTCTAATATCAACATTTGAAAGCTTGACCGCCGATTGTGATGATTGTGATTACCCTCCGTTAATTGCACAATAAACCAACAATAGATACAACTTGACAACAGGATTGTCGGCACGACAAATGTGATCGTAATTCATTATATCATATCGATAAATATATGCAGTAGTGATTGTGTCTTAATGAGGTTGTTAATAACCAGGGTTAATTAATTACACTTGGGAGTCAACTGATAATAAGCAGCAATGCGCACAGCCTGAACAATATGCCCAATGTAAACAATGTACAACAATGTAAGTAACACACACCAATTGTAAGTAACACACACCGATACAATCAGTAGTACACACCCATATAAGTAGTACACACCAATGTAACTAATACACACCATGATAAGTAATACACACCAAAGTAAGTAGTACACACCAATGTAAGTAATACACACCAATGTAAATAGTACACACCAATGGAAATAGTACACACCAATGTAAGTAATACACTCCAGTGTTTAAAGTAATACACACCAATGTAAGTAGTACACACCAATGTAAGTAATACACACCCATGTAAGTAATACACACCCATGTAAGTAATACACACCAATGTAAGTAGTACACACCAATGTAAGTAATACATACCAATGTAAGTAATACACACCAATGTAAGTAGTACACACCAATGTAAGTAACACACACCAATGTAAGTAGTACACACCAATGTAAGTAGTACACCCCAATGTAAGTAATGCACGCCAATGTAAACAATTCATGCCAATGTAAACAATACACGCCAATGTAAGTAATGCACGCCAGGGTAAATAATACACATTTTTCAGCCTTAAAGGGACACTAGGTCCTGGAACAGCCCAATTGGGCTACATAACGCGCTTTGAACGAAATGATGTTAATCGTAAAGAACATTTAAACGTAGGATTTAAACATCCACACCACTATCCTTTAAAAACTGGGCTTCTGTGTTATTCCTGAACTATGCGTGCAAGAACGAATTTCGGGGTCCACTTTTGCGTCCCCAAAACGTCCAGCTGTTTGGGTGCTAGTTGTGATTTCATTCGTAAAGTGTTCGCCTTTTTTGGACGTCGAAGAAAATAAATTTTGTGCATTGGTGATTGGTCACCGCTGTTCCCGAGACAAACGTGTATTTCGTACAAACGGAATGACAGGAAAAACGTGTTCGTACTCCGTCATGTCCGATGTAAACAACCGGGTTTTTTGGGGGGGTTTTCAACCAGATGTTTGAAATTAAAGTAACAATCCAAAACATGAAATTTTCGGGGATTTCAGGACCTAGTGCCCCTTTAACCTGGTTAACGCTTTACTCATGCAAGCTAGCGTCATTATACACAGCGCAACTTCAGCACAGTCAGGGCTATACCAGTCATGTTGTTGCTAAGGCAAAGCGTCTGCCGTTATTAAGGAAAGCTAATCCGATTACGTACTTAGACGCTTTAGCAGAGCAGTGAAATTCATGCACCACAAAAAACATGGCCTTTTGAACGTTGTGTTTCTCACAAAGAATGCTCATTATGATTGAAATCTTAAACTATAACGAAAGAAGAAATTCTAAACTTCATGTCAGTGAAAAAAAATCTCCGTTATCGATGCCGAAACGTCCATACTGGTTACTGTTATAGCTGACCTTCAAGTCTGGAAGAAATCGTTCAAAAACGTCCCCAAAATCTATGTATTTACATCAATTTCTAGGAATTTCTCCAAATTGTTGTTTCACGAGTAGTTGATCACTTATATCGTCTAGTATATTCCGAATTTCAGCTTAATCTGTTGTTGCAAACGCTAGTGTTACAACTAGTACTATCTCCATGGGAAATGTCGACGAGGATTTTCTGCCGCCCAACCCACGTGCATTGTTCAGCAAAGCACTGTAGGTGCTACGGGTGACCGATTTCGGCCAAGCAACACAATAATGTATGGTAGATTAGCATATTCATTAGCGTCACTCGGCGTGTTTTGGCGTGGGTCTCGGTATCGACCAATGAAAGCCGGCAAAAAGGGTGATATTTATCGATCGATAACTCGTGAAGGAGGCTTTTTCCAATTTTCAACTGCACACTATAATGAATAGGAACCTTATTAATAATTGTGAGGCTTGAAAAGATTGACAGATATTGCAAACGCCAGTGTTACAGCTTTCAAAAAAGCACGAAGCCAGGCCTATTTTTCCAATTTCAACGAAAAGTAATGAACATATCACAACGATTTTTAGCACATACATGGATCATTATAATGGAAATGAAGATACGGTCTTCCAAACGGGAGAAATTAATTTTGAAACATTTCACCCGCCAACGTGAACATGTCTCTGTACATGTAGTTTCATAACAAATAAAGTGTTACGTAACCTTTAGCAATCGCCCCTAGCAACCACATGACTGATACCGTCCGCTGTCCGTTACACAACACCTCCGCGCGATCATGTGAGTACCCTTCTCGTGTACATGCAACGCTGTAAAAACACATAAGCCTGTACTTAACCTATGGGCCTTTGGCAACCAATAACGTACGTGCATTCAGTCACTGAACTCTTAAGCTCCGCCCAGTCACAAACACAATGAATTGTCACTATTGCAATACAAATGACGTAGGAAATAAACTGGCTACGAGTCCCTACACTTTCCGTTACAGTATTATGATATTTGCACATCCCATCCCACCGCACCCTGAAGGTAAAGTTAAAGTCTGCGCTTCAAGTCACACACGATGCGGTTCTACTGAGGAGGGTTGTTTAATACCACCCCACGCATGCACGAAAATAAAACTAGTTTAGCGTTTCCTATATTGGAGAATTGGCTATTAGTGTTTGCATCTAGCTATATCTGCGCTAACATTTATTGATTTTATTTACACAGCTTTCACTTTGATAACAAGAAGTAATTACATTGATTATTTTGAAATCAACAATGTAATATGTTTGA